ATTGATAATAATTGAACCTTGTGGATATCGTACATTTTACAAATATATTGGTATTCCCCACTGGTTTCAGCAGTTATTTTTCCCGCCTTGACACCAGCAATTTATTCTCAATTAAATATATCTTACTATGTCGTATTCTTTTGTACCTTATAGAAGTTCTTGTGAGATTAAATTATTTCCTTCAGATTTTCGCTTCAGGTTCATTTTGTACGTCATTCTTATTGTCTTTCAGATAAGTTTTCTGTGGCACGATTATTTTGTTCCAGGAAGAAAACGGAACGTTTATTTGAACCGACATGTTTATAAGTTGAAACATTCTATCAGCCTGAATATTCCATGCGGCACTTGGAATTAGTAGCGATATTCCGGTACTAAGTAGAAAACCTGAGAGAGGTTGATTTGTCATACTTTGTTGAATTATGGTGATAACCGTTTCCGGTTTTACCATTTTTTTAAAATCATTTAATTCCTAGCAAGGCCATAATACCACTACTGATGTAAGTGTTTACTGGAAGTGAAAGATATTGAGATAACTAAGGAAAAGAAAGGACAGTAAAAAGATAGGTTTCAGGAAGACAGTAGATTGCGATTGACGTTTCTTTAATATTTTTGAAGATTGTAGATGGCAAGAAACCGGAAGAGGGTTCTATAGGCGAAAGAAGAAACAATTAGAATAGAACTTACGGTTACTTCTAATTAATCCAACAATAAAAAGATGAGACCTCGTTGGCAATCTAGTAATACGGCCAAATTCACGCGGCCGTGCTACCAACGAGGAAAACCCAGAACAATTGTAATGAAAATATTTATAGAAAAGACAGAGTGAAGTCACGTCATGGTGGTCGGAAAGAGACTGAAGTCGAGATGCCAGGTCAGGACCGATAAAATTACAAACCCTTCTATGGATTTTGTCTAGAATCTGGAGATAAATAGCAGAAGCACCAAACCAGATATGACAGCAGTATTCAATGCATGGATGAATGGTAGATTTATAAATGTATATAATAGACATTTACTCTATTTACATTCTTCGGACTGTTGTCCTCATCTTTACTGACACATTCACGACGTTTCGGCTGCTGTATGCTCTGGCCTTCTTCAGGTCATATTTGTTGGAATTTCAAACCAAACCCTATATTTAATTCAAAAAGTGACTTTATCCAAATGTTCAATCCCTGGCCTTATCGGAGAAAACAAAAACTCGGACAGTTATCAAGGTGAATTCTCTAAAACTGAGATATCCAAAGACATGACACGTAGAACTAGAACAATCTACCCCCCCCCGTAGGATGAATAAAGGGTTCGAATCCAAATTCCTATAAATATCATCTGAAGAAGGTCAGAGCATACACCGGTCGAAAAGTCATGAATGTGACAGTAAAGATTAGGACAACCTACTTCATGTCTGTAGAAAACGTGAGACCTAAAATACGTAATGAGATGTTCTTCTGGAGGTTAGCATCAGCCATGCTGACAGAAGACAGAAAAGGTTATGTATGATGATTAAAAGATAGAAGTTTCGTTTTAGAGGCGTTCAGATTTACGAGTCAATTCTTGCCCCAGTTAACAACTGATAACATTTTTAGTTATTATGGTTGCTTTGAAACGGACATTTGGTTGCAATCAGGGAAATGGTATTAGCTGACCAAAGTCAAATTCTGGTTGTGCTCACTAATTTCACTGTCACAATTATATTCCTGAAGAAGCATGAATTCTATGTTCCTATCGGTCTGTTCTATCGCTAGTCATTATAATTATAGCTTTACGTTTACTTGATCTTGTCGGGGGTGAATTATTTTCCAGTGCGTATTCTTTAACTGAACAGATTCAACGTCGCAACCTATACTCTAACGCTGTTTATATGGCAAATAATCTCCATTGTTTACTTCCACCAGTTCAGACTGTTGCAGCGGGGGAACGCCATGTTACCAAATTTCATCACTATTCCAAATGTCAGGAGAAAGTTCTACCCAGACCATTTTATCTCAAGAATTGCTATTTTGTGGAATAGGCTCCCATGTAGATGCTTCCCTGAACAGTGCAATCTTATTTAAACTGTGGGTCAATCGTTATCTGTCCTCCTTATCTTCACTTCCGAACCCCTCCGTTTACATTCATATCACATACGCCATTCACCTTGTGCGTCTCTTGGGGCTTGAATTGTGTAAATTTTTGTTTGAAAAAAAATTGTCTTTAGAGTGACACAGACGTATAAAATTCATTTAAGATATAAAATAAGAAGTTACAGATTTCAGTCTCTTAAATATGCGAATGGGACGTTCAGGCTTAGCTCATTTGGCGTAGCTGATTCGACATGGTCGATTTGACATAGAAATTTTTCGGCAGAGAGACGATTAGGCATCAGATTACTACTTCGTCATAATTGTCAAATTTGTTTTGTTTCTCTCGTTTAGTAGTCAAATCAGTACTTCGTTGTTATGTGCTCGAATTTAAGAAAAGGCGTAGTTGGTGGCATTTTTAAATTTTAGAAAAAGAGTAATTGGAGGTATTTTTATATTATATTTCCTTCAGTACAGCTTCATATTTTTCAGTCGTCAAAGCCGTTTTATTCCAAAATGGAAGCAAATATTTTCTCAAAACGTAGAAGAAACAAAGTGATAAACGACGGATACCACCCACTTTTTTTTTTTGACGCAACGAGCAAGACGGATCCTGAATTAAAGTTTTGGCGATGTGAACAGAAAGATTGATGTAAAGTGAGATTACATATCAAGTTTTTAATTTACATTATTCTATTAGTGTTTTAATAAGATCCTTAATTCCCTAAATAAGTAAAAAGTCGTATTGAAAGTTGGGCGTTTTCAATGTTTTTATTCTTTTTTGACGGGGGTTTCCTCCGGTCAAAGACAGTGACGTCGAAAGAGTTTGACGCCTAAACGTCTGTTCCGAATAGTCTAATTATTTTTCTGACCTGTCTATATTTCTGAAATGAGGTATTATGTACACTATTTACATTATTCACTGTGCCATGTGTCCTCAAGGACACATGGCATAGTGGATAAAGGCGTTGGTTAGATCCAGTGACAGGACCCAAAGAGTGTGAGTTCAAAACCCGGTTAAAGCAGTGGAGAACTTGGAGAGAGGAATTAACAGGAGATAACTGACAACTGACATCCATTAAATATGGCACGTGGAAGTAGAACAGTCTACCCCAGTGAGCGAAATAAAGGGGTCAGTTCGACATTCCAACCACCTGAAGAAGGCCGGAGCGTATAACGAAACCTCAGAGCCTCGTCCGGGTTCCTCTCTGCTCAGAGGCAGAGAGTTCGACCGCACAGCCGAAAGATTTCAGCTGGACTCTGTAGTCCGTTGACTTACAGATACTTACAGATAGTTACTACCTATAGTGTAGTCACTCATGTGGGTGACATGTTATTCCATTACATCATTTTGTTTTTAAGAAATAACTCTCTTGTTTTTAAAAAGGGGAATCTGGAGACTTTTGCACACATTACAGCGTTCTTTTGCAAATTAAGTTATACTCAGACATCGAATAGACCTAGTCTCCCAGTAACACTTACATTAATTCCTGGCTTTAAAATTTTCTTATGCATTAGTTAACTGTTGTTTCAAATCTGCTCCATTTACCAGTGCAATTTTAATATAGTGGACGCCAACGTGTACAGAAAAAGTGGATCCTGGAGATGAAAATATTAAGAACCACTGCCCAGCTTAATAAATATAAATAAAACTGATCCCTCGAAAGTCAAGTTTTTCAAGATTTTTTTCACAAATGATGTATTTCTTCATTTTGATGTTTCAGTTAAGTAGACTAAGACTTGAATAAAGTGAAATGAAACCCTATTGTCAGTAAAATAATTAAACATTTAAATATCAGACCTAAACATTCTGTAAATTTAATTCATTAGAATTCATCAGAATTTTTTGATAGTGTTTTCTACTATTTCTGATAAATAATTAATAGTAATAATGTAATGCAGTAGGTTACTAGTTTGTAGCGACGTTGAAGAGGTAGATTTTCTTGGGATTGAGGGAGCCGTATTTTTATGTAGTGGGTTGTACTGGAGTTATTATTGTGATCGTATGATTTTATTTTTCGAATAGTGATTGTATCGTGTTTTATGCAATGCAACACGTGGTTCGTTGGGGACTAAAAGTCTACCTGTAGGGAAATGAGATACGTCTTGTCCCCACAGCATCCTATAGTTGAAGAACGAGAGAGAGAGAGAGAGAGAGAGAGAGAGGGGGGCTTGTGCTCCTTCTTTTTATACAACACCACCTAGTGAGTGTGTTATAAACTTCGTATAACACGCGTAGTTTTGGTTAATCATACTGTAATGAAAATACTGGAACAAGGTTGAATGAAGAATAGGGCTAATCACCTGAGAGTCAAGTATATAGAGAATACCGTTGTTCAGTGCGGCAATGCGTACGATTCAACGTTACGCCTTGGGACCCACTTTGCGAAAGCCGTTCCTATGACCAGACGTTCTACTCTTTTTGGATAAACGAATCCATGTTCAACAATTAGTGTAGAGAAGGTTGGACGTCTTTCTACACAAAACAGTCTTTGTAGTCCCTTGGTAGAAAAAGTTTTAATCCACAATGTCAAGAAAAATCTAGTCCAGACCTTTCCAAAAATCTACAATAAATTTTACAGGTCGGGTAGTTGGAAGCCTACATTGAAAATCAGCATTCTCAATCGTGGGTTCGAATATGGCAATACATCAACAACAAAAGAGTATTTCAAATTTTATATCTATATTTTATAACTATATTTATATTTTATATCTATTATTTTAAATCCATAGCCTAACGATGAAAAGATTTTACACAAAAATCTCTACCTTTCAATATAATTTCTTTCTTTGTCAATACATTTAAAGCCATGCTTTTCCATTAATTCCATTGATGGCAAACATCTTTGCAGTTCCTGTTTACCGTAAAACTTCCTAATTGCTCACATGTTCTGTTCATGGTATTTTCAGTAGAATACAAGTACAAGCATAGCTCTATGCTTACGGCCAAATCACATTGAAACACCCGTTCCTGTACGATCATCGAAGTTAAGCAACGTCGAGACTAGTCAGTACCTAGATGATGACAGCTTAGGAATACCAGGTGCTGTAAGCTTGGATGTACGGGTGGTGTAATGGATAACGGCTCGGAATTGTTAATCGGAGAGCCGAGTTCCAATTCCAGTTGGGTTCGTTATATTCACTTACGCACAGTTATCATGTGAAAGGCATAAATCCACGTCTTTCCTTCCTGCTATGGGTTAATTAGTAAGACATTTTTTATCTAAAAAAAATAAAAATATTTACAAGTTAAACATATTTTCTGACTTTGAATAACCTGCAAAGAGTTCATAAGCCGTAAAAAATGAATCAATCAATTTTTCATCAGTTGTCTGTCTATATCTCTGAGATGAGGTATTATGATTACTTACATTATTTACATTATTCGGACTCTTATCTCCATCATTGTCATATTCACAACGTGTCATGGCCCAGTGGATAAAGACGTTTGTTAGATCCAGTGACTAGACACAAAGAGTTTTGAGTTCAATACCAGGCCACAGCAGTGGTGAACCAAAACTTCGAGAGTTGAGTTAAAGGGAAATAACTGAAACATCCGGAAGAGGCATGGCACATGGAACTAGAAGGTGGATGAAATAAAGGGTTCTATTTGAAATTCCAATCACCTGAAGAAGGCCGGAGCGTACAACGGCCGAAACGTTGTGAATATGGAAATGAAGATGAGGATAACAGTCCGAGTAATTTAAATAATGTAAGTTTTCATCAATTGGTTGATTTTGTTTGGAGGTATATCAAACTCTGTGTTATTTAATGCCGAAATGGCAATATTTTGAACACAATTTTATGGCGTCAAGTAAATATATTTTGAACGCAATTGTGTGCCTTCAGCACCAGATAAAATGTATTATTGGTCATTTTACTATAAATATGTATTGTTGGTTGGTTGTTTTTGTTTAGCGGTATATCGACATCTCTATGGGTTATTTAATGCTGAAATCTAAATATTTTTTACGTAATTTTATACTTCCAGGGTAAAGGTATGTTTTTAAATGTTGTAGATCAGTGTTGCTCATTTTATAAAAAAAAATGTACTGTTGATTTTTGTTTGGGTGTTCACTATTTGCCCATAGCTGGGACCCTAACAGGTGCTGCCACCCGGAGTCAGCGTGGACCTTGGAACAAAAGCAATTAAGAGGTGGTTACACCCTCCTCAAAACATCCCGATCAGAGGCCTTGCTGCTGGATGTAGTTTATCGTCATACCCAGGACGAATTTTTTTTCATCTGTGAAAAATTGTCCAGCTTAAGTACGTAGCCTAATTAATAAAATTATACAGTGAAAATTTCAGATAAAAATTCCGCTAATAACAAAATGTCGTTAATCTTCGTTGGAAGGAAAATCGTAAAGCATGAGAATTCCTTATTCATGATCTTATTGTAACAACTTCTATGCGTTTTGCCCCTCAGGACGTGGCCGATTGTGGCTATCCACAACTCCCTATCCCATATTTTGCGATTTCTTCTCGTATAGTTCAGACATCACTGGATTTTTCTACTAGGGCGATTCAGTACCAAAGAAATTTGTGCTGATTAAATATCTATAATAATAAATAATAGATTTTTATTTCTTATACAAAGCAACAAGTATAACAAAATCAGGAGGCACGGTGGAATAATGGATAGTGGCTCGGATTGAGGAATCGGAGAGCCGAGTTCAAATTCCAGTCGAATCCATTACATTCACTTACGTGCTAATACCTTTCGGAAAGGCATGAATCATATTCTTCTCCCCGCCCCCAGCTATGGGTAAATAACAGGAAAGAATGAGTTCTATAGCTTTGGATGGCAACTGGTCTAGGTGAAAGGCAACTCTGAATTCAAAACCTGCGGAGGGTCGTTTGGGGACCTTGTGGCACACGGTGCACCAGGTCTCTATATACGGTTCTTCCAAAAAGTCTGGTGGGTTCTGAACAAAGTCTTCAGCACTATAATCAAATCATATGTGCTGGTGTCTGGCTGCCGGTTCCTAGGAACTGAGTTACTTGACCCTCATGCATCGATAAACGACGGTAGAATCCAGCATCAGCAAAACAAAATCGAAGAATATTGAAAAAGTTTGTAAGAAAAAAAAATCAGATATTCTACGAATTCTTCATTAAGGTTTTGTTTCGTTCATATTCCTACGAATTTAAAGGAAAAGGCAAATTTAAAATAATGTATTCTCATTTAGTTTTATTTTTTTTAGTTTTGTCTTTTCCTTTTTCAACTTATATTCCCCACGCTTATCCATGTGGTTGTTTCAAAATAAAATTAATAGTTCAATTTATTTTTCTTTTCACAACTCAGATCAGGAAATGCTGTTATAAAAATTTTTTTATCTCCATTAATCCTAATAAAAACATCAACTTGATTTTTGTTTGAATTCTGAAATAAATAACAACAATTGTTAAATGACAAAAAGATTTTTCAAAATTAATAATCTTAAAAATCAAATAATTCAACACTGTTGCTAAATAGTAAAAATACAGGATGAAAATTGAGAGGTCGGAATACCACAGTATAATTATGTTCCGTGTAGCCATTGTCTTGCGTGGCTCAGTAGGTTAAGGCATCAGTTATGTTAGACGAGTTTTCGGAATATATGATACGGAATCAAATCTCGGTAAGATGGACAGACCACGTGAGCAACGATGAGGTTTTGAAGAGGATGCAAACAAGGAGGAGGCTTATACTTAACATCAAGAAGAGGCAGCTGAAATTTCTTGGACATGTAATGAGAAAGGAGGGCTTGAAGAATATGATACTCATAGGTCGAATAGAGGAAAAAGAGAGACAAGGAAAGCAAAAGCATGACATACGGCTTAAACAAGTGGATGACAGAACAGGACATGGGAGAAGTAGCAAAGGGACAAAACTTATTGAGAGATACAAGGGATAGGAAGAAGTGGAGGCCATGATCGCCTACATCCTGAAGGGATACGGAACATAAAAAAAAAAAAAAAAAAAGCAACCTACTCATAGATGAAGAAGAGACTCGAGGCGGCGAAGGTATCGTTCTACAAAAGGATTCTAAGGATATCATGGACAGACCACGTGAGCAACGATGAGGTTTTGAAGAGGATGCAAACAAGGAGGAGGCTTATACTTAACATCAAGAAGAGGCAGCTGAAATTTCTTGGACATGTAATGAGAAAGGAGGGCTTGAAGAATATGATACTCATAGGTCGAATAGAGGGAAAGAGAGACAAGGGAAAGCAAAGCATGACATACGGCTTAAACAAGTGGATGACAGAACAGGACATGGGAGAAGTAGCAAAGGGACAAAACTTATTGAGAGATACAAGGGATAGGAAGAAGTGGAGGGCCATGATCGCCTACATCCTGAAGGGATACGGAACATAAAAAGAAAAAAAAAAAGCAACCTACTCATAGATGAAGAAGAGACTCGAGGCGGCGAAGGTATCGTTCTACAAAAAAGGATTCTAAGGATATCATGGACAGACCACGTGAGCAACGATGAGGTTTTGAAGAGGATGCAAACAAGGAGGAGGCTTATACTTAACATCAAGAAGAGGCAGCTGAAATTTCTTGGACATGTAATGAGAAAGGAGGGCTTGAAGAATATGATACACATAGGTCGAATAGAGGAAAGAGAGACAAAGGGAAAGCAAAAGCATGACATACGGCTTAAACAAGTGGATGACAGAACAGGACATGGGAGAAGTAGCAAAGGGACAAAACTTATTGAGAGATACAAGGGATAGGAAGAAGTGGAGGGCCATGATCGCCTACATCCTGAAGGACACGGAACATAAAAAAAAAAAAAAAAACAACCTACTCATAGATGAAGAAAGAGACTCTGAGGCGGCGAAGGTATCGTTCTACAAAAGGATTCTAAGGATATCATGGACAGACCACGTGAGCAACGATGAGGTTTTGAAGAGGATGCAAACAAGGAGGAGGCTTATACTTAACATCAAGAAGAGGCAGCTGAAATTTCTTGGACATGTAATGAGAAAGGACGGCTTGAAGAATATGATACTCATAGGTCGAATAGAGGGAAAGAGAGACAAGGGAAAGCAAAGCATGACATACGGCTTAAACAAGTGGATGACAGAACAGGACATGGGAGAAGTAGCAAAGGGACAAAACTTATTGAGAGATACAAGGGATAGGAAGAAGTGGAGGGCCATGATCGCCTACATCCTGAAGGGACACGGAACATAAAAAGAAAAAAAAAGAAGCAACCTACTCATAGATGAAGAAGAGACTCGAGGCGGCGAAGGTATCGTTCTACAAAAGGATTCTAAGGATATCATGGACAGACCACGTGAGCAACGATGAGGTTTTGAAGAGGATGCAAACAAGGAGGAGGCTTATACTTAACATCAAGAAGAGGCAGCTGAAATTTCTTGGACATGTAATGAGAAAGGAGGGCTTGAAGAATATGATACTCATAGGTCGAATAGAGGGAAAGAGAGACAAGGGAAAGCAAAGCATGACATACGGCTTAAACAAGTGGATGACAGAACAGGACATGGGAGAAGTAGCAAAGGGACAAAACTTATTGAGAGATACAAGGGATAGGAAGAAATGGATGGCCATGATCGCCTACATCCTGAAGGGACACGGAACATAAAAAGAAAAAAATAGAAGCAACCTACTCATAGATGAAGAAGAGACTCGAGGCGGCGAAGGTATCGTTCTACAAAAGGATTCTAAGGATATCATGGACAGACCACGTGAGCAACGATGAGGTTTTGAAGAGGATGCAAACAAGGAGGAGGCTTATACTTAACATCAAGAAGAGGCAGCTGAAATTTCTTGGACATGTAATGAGAAAGGACGGCTTGAAGAATATGATACTCATAGGTCGAATGGAGGGAAAGAGAGACAAGGGAAAGCAAAGCATGACATACGGCTTAAACAAGTGGATGACAGAACAGGACATGGAGAAGTAGCAAAGGACAAAACTTATTGAGAGATACAAGGGATAGGGAAGAAGTGGAGGGCCATGATCGCCTACATCCTGAAGGGACACGGAACATAAAAAGAAAAAAAAGAAGCAAACCTACTCATAGATGAAGAAGAGA